TGACTCATCTGAAATACATGTTTTTAAGTCCTCTTGATATGTTTTCCAACTTTCTGTTCATATTCAGTAAGAGATCTTTGTGAATTGGATCAGTCATTGGATTTTTTTAGCCATATTTTTCACATGAGGTTTCTTTAGAAGCCATTAAATCATATTTAATAGTCTGCACTGCATCTAGGGAATCAATCTTAAGAGAGGTTCTATAGTCAGTGACAAGTGTATCCATTAAGTTGAATGCACTTTCCACTAATGGGCCATGGAAACAGCTAAGGCAGGCTTTGACCAATTTAGCCAATGTAGGATACTTATAATCATTTGTGAAAACATCTTTTAAATTAAAAACTTTAGACCAATTTTTATCAATTGTACACTTGACTTGATTTCCACTTTCATCAGATGTGTAGAGCATTTCTTTGGTGATATCAATATCACTCTGGTATAACCTTATTTCAGCTTCTACTTTTGACTTTTCATTATTACTAAAAATATGGAATATAAAAGATGATAATTTTTCAAAAGCTAATATTGTACTGGTTTTACCTCTTAGCTCTGGATCTAATGCTGTAAAACTAATTAGATATGAATTTTTAAGGGGTAATTTCTGTTTCATATGCTGTGCTGTATTAGTATAAGCTTTCATCAGAGAAATTTGGAATTCTTTTGCTATTGGATGATTTTTTGATAATTTCTTCAGGAGAGTGGAAGCTTCTGCACCAGTAAATATTACTTTGCTAGGTAGATGGAATTCTGGATTTGTGACATCAACCTTTAATAAATCATTATAAGATGTGCACTCTATATTTTCTGGCTTCATAAAGAAGAGAAAAATTTTGCCATCAATTTATAAATACTGGAATCTATTAAATGAAATATTGGTTTTTTTGTTTCAAATAATTTAATATATGTGTTGAACTCTGGTAATACTGCTGAATATAATGCCATATGCAATAAAGTTTTGTTTTGCATAACAAATAACCCCTTTAGTATTTTTTTTTTCCGAGCTAAAGCATCCTTTGTGAGTTGTTGGGAATGCAAGCAAGAATACACCCCTTCAACAATTTTTTTCCGAGCTGCAGAAATATTTCTTTTATTGTATACAGTTTCAACATAAGAAAAATAATCCCCTTTATCAGTTTTATCCAAGTAGTGAAAATAAAATGCAATAAGAGCATCCCACAGATCTTTGATTCTTTCTAAAACACATAAAATGTACACCCACCTATGGTCTGGTCTCTTCAAGGGCTTAAGTTTTTTAATGGCAAGGGATTCACAGATTTTGAAAAAATTTTCTCTTTTACTGCAGCTTTTCATATCAAAATAGATGTCATCAAACAAATCTTCTAAGTATCTATCAAAACATGAAGCAAATTTTTTTTTGCACAGTTATTAGCTGTGTGACATGTGTCACCATCAATATCTAATAAGTGGGGTGCTTTGTTTGATCGTAGTCTGGTTTCAACACCCTTTTTTTTTTTTCCAAGCATGGTGTTACGAATCCATTAATACACTAATTAAGTTTGCCCATGGAATATTATTATCTTCAATAGTATTAACAACTGCTTTAAAAACAGCTTCTGAATTGCAAGATTCCATCTTTAGAGATGCAAAATGATGAACTACAACTTCATTTTGATTGTTGTCATAAAACTGCACCAATATTGCCAGTATACTTTCTTGAGCATTGCTAGTACTTTCATCCAAATTTAGAGAAAATGGAGTCTCCTTTAAAGTTTTAATGATAATTTCCTTAATAGTTTTTGCGAGCCCATATTTCATCTTATAACATGCAGTAGTCCTGGACATTTCCAACAAGTTTAGTGCCGTCTGATCGCGGCTCAACTGTTTGCAGAGTTCAATTAAATTGGGAGCTACATTGAAAGAAAGAGAATTCTCGGCGATAAACGAAGTTATTTATACCTCTTGGCGTGCTTTTCTTGTCACTATATCCAATGGCCGAGCATCAGTCTCCAGTAAGTCATCAGTATTTTTTGAGTTAGCATAATTACTTAAAGTCATTGAATGTCTAATGCACTTTGAATATTTTATGTGCGTCACAGTTTTAGAATGATTTGTGAAAGCCTTGAATCCTTCCCCACCATACTTACGCAGTGAGTTAAAAAAAAAAAAAAAAAAAAAAAAAAAAAAAATATATATATATATATATATATATATGCTTGTCCAGCAACATTTATTTTCTTGCACCATGTGCCGATGGTATCCCCATTACCATCTCTCCGTTCAATGCATTCCGGACACCTTCTTCTAATTGTTTAATATCACTATTTATATCGAGAAATTTCAGAGTGAAATTCTCTTGCGTACATAAAAAAAAAAAAAAAAAAAAAAAAAAAAAATTTCAATAAACGAAACGAAAAATTTACACGTGCATCAATAAATGAAACGAAAATTTTACACAGCGGAGAAAAAAAGTTGAGAAGCGATCAATGACAAATAGCTAATACGGCGAAAAATCCCCCTTCTCTACTTATTGGCGGGAGATAAGACCTTTGAACCCAGAGTCATAATTTAATATATGTGTTGAACTCTGGTAATACTGCTGAATATAATGCCATATGCAATAAAGTTTTGTTTTGCATAACAAATAACCCCTTTAGTATTTTTTTTTCCGAGCTAAAACATCCTTTGTGAGTTGTTGGGAATGGAAGCAAGAATACACCCCTTCAACAATTTTTTTTCTGAGCTGCAGAAATATTTCTTTTATTGTATACAGTTTCAACATAAGAAAAATAATCCCCTTTATCAGTTTTATCCAAGTAGTGAAAATAAAATGCAATAAGAGCATCCCACAGATCTTTGATTCTTTCTAAAACACATAAAATCTGGTCGCACGAAGTCTCTCCCTTTTTTTTTCTGCCGCGCCTACTTGCCGAAAAGAATCCAGAAGAGAATGTCCGAGAACCGGGGAATGAGTCATAACTCGCAATAAGAAAAGAACAAAAAAGAAATTTTTTCCCCCTTTTCACGCATTATCACTGCCTTTGGAGAAAGAAGGAAAAGTTTTCACCATGCACACTGACCTTGCGTTTTCTGCTTTCAAAGCAAACAAAATTACCCAGATCAAAATAAGTAATTCATTATGATTCCTACTTCCTTTTGAACGATGATCCCCGGAATTTCCGGGTATCGAAGTTCAAAATCCCCCGAATTCCGGGATTTCCCCGGAGCACAAACACCCCTGCTTAGGCTCAATATAACATTGAAATTGTGTTTTAGATACCTGTATTAAACTGACCTTCTATTCAAAATAAAAACATCATAGGCAAACATTAAGTACCTGCACATGTGGATGACACAGCTGCCACACAATAATTTTTTAATTCCTAGTATTTAAGACATTGCTCTAAATCCTGGAAATAATAATTTAAGATTAAGTTTTATCTTTACTTTTTAGATGACTTTGATTTATTCTGAAATTGCAATCAAGACACAGATATATCAATCAAAATGCCAATATACTGCTACAATGAATACCTCCAATATTTAATTAATACTTTCTATAAATTCTGAAATTCAGTATTTATTCTTTTCTCTTGCAACTATTCATGTAACAGTTGTAATTTATTGTAAATTTGTGTTTTAACTAAAATTATTCAGTTGCAATGCTCATTAATTAAGCAAACCCCTAATTAAACTATTAGAATTCCTTTTAGAACATAAAAATATTCCATAGAAATAAATGCTAGTTTAAAGTTTGATGAAACATAAATGATTGTATCGAAATCAATTTTATTCAAACCTCTAACATATAAAAAATTTCTTCTAGGATAGTGGTTCTCAACCTTTTTTTACTCCATGCATCCCTTTCACCATTCTTAGATCATCCCCCCTTATTTTCCCAAACTCAAAAAATACATACAGATTTACTTTGATTTAGATTATTTTTAACATGTTTTATAAATTACAAAACAAAAAGGTATAAAAATAATGATAAATACCAGAATCTGAATAAAAGTAATTTTTATATCTATATACTAAAACTAAATACCTAACAGCTAATTAAAAGGCTGACCCCCACAGACTTGAGAACCCCTCTTCTAGGGTCTTCTAGGGGATAAGGACTATTTGATTTATCAACAGAATATGGAGACAAAATAAAATTATTTTAAAATATTTTCATAAGTGAGACAAAATAAAATTATTTAAAAATATTTTTATAAGTGCTTCTTTATTGGAAGAAGCAATAAATAAAAAACACATTCTTTATAACTACTTATGTTTAATGGCATCCAAAAGTCCATTTCTTGGTGGAGGGGGAAAATTTGAGGAAAACAAAAATGTGGAATTTAGTGGTATCAGCGAAGTCACTATGTATATAAATACAAAACAGATATTAAACTCTTTTGGGAGTGAGTTATTTTTGTTTGAAATCTGAATTGAAATTTATAGCTGCAATAGATTCCCAGTTTATATTTAAAATAAACAACTCTCTAAATCCCTTGCATCTAACTGTTTGAATAGGTTTTGAGCATTTAATGCATGTTTCGGATTTCTCTTCTTTTCAAGCCAACAACAAACAAAACAGCAATGATATTTTTTCTAAAAAATTGTCAGTTTAAGGGGAAAAGGATAAAAGTCATATGCCCTGAAAAGAATACTTAAATTCTTTGTTCATTTCTAGTCACTCTTCTCAATGAGCAAAATATACTTTGTTTATCTAACACATCATCAAATAAAAACTCATTCAACCTCGGTATTGTATATTTTTAATGATACAGAACCTTTTTGTTCTATCATCATATAATTGATAATTTAAAGATATGACATTTCATAAAACTATTCTGAATGATCATTTAGATATTAAAAACTAAACAGAATACATTAATCTTATGAACCTCATTTTTCTCCGAAAACTTTTGTATTCTCCAAGTTTTCGAGGTAAAATATGTTTCACTTTTAGGAGGCTTTCTTCCTCTAAAATTTCAATTTTTCAAAAGAATTGAAACACAAAATAAACCCCTAAAAGATAAAAGACAATCTCATTTTTTAAACCAAAAATATTTTATTTACTTCTTTATACAAACTTCGTTTAGAGCTAAATGTGTATAATCAATAGAATTTGACAATGGAGTTAAAGAAAGAACCAAGAAATATGTTATATCATATATAGAAAAAACTAATTAGCTAGAAAATATACATAATTATTTGGCTTCGGAATTGAAAGAAAATCTACAAATACTTCAAACAAATAAAATTAACATTGGCACATATAATTAATTACTTTGACAAGTTAAGAAAATTTAAAATGCCCAAAGTGAAGGTAAAAAAAGAAGGGGGGGAAGAATTTAAAAATTTCATCAGTATAGGAATTAAAAGACATCAGGAATGGTAAATAACACAGTACTGATGTTGAATAAAATTTTTAGTGAAAATAATAATGCATACATAAAAACTACTGCGCAAATATTACAAGAGAGTAGTATTCTGCTTAATTTTTATTTAAACATAATTTATAATTAGTTACAACAATCTGTTTACTTCACCTTGAGCTGAAAGAAATAAGTAACAAAGCAATAATAATCAAAACTTGTAATTCAAAATCAGATGTACAGTTATGCTCATGACAGCACTGATTTTAAACATAAAACAAAGCATTTACAACTGTTATTTGATTCAGTTTATATGCAAGTAATTTAATGATTTAACATAAAATAAATTTTAGAGATTGAAAAGAAATTATTGGAGGGATCCATTTATACAACAAAAACCAAAAATATGCCAAGTTTGCACAAATTTAGGATGGATTTAATTTTTCGTTACAAGAATGCACTGCTTTTCCTTTCATGTACATAAAAATATTTGTATATAATAAAATACAAATACCATTTTTATATACACGAACAGAACAGGTTAAATGTTTTCAAAATATTTTTCTCATACATTGTATCATAAAATCAAAAAATCATTTCTCACATGATAATTTGATTTTATATTAATTAAAATATTGACAATATATGTAGCCATTAGAGAGATACATATGTATGAAAAACTGATATTTTGATAATGAATCAAAACATAGTCTAGCAAAAGCACTTTCCGTAACAAAAATAGGCATTTTTTCCTAGATTAAAAAATACTTTCCAGCAGTAAAAAAATTATGCTTTCATATCCATTATATACATGAATTGACATATTATTCACAAGAAGATAAGAACAGAACAAACTGTTTCTTGTTTTTTAATTGCCAAGACAATCACCCTTTTATGATGGTCTATAAAAAGCATACTTTTGTAAAGCCATTCAGAAAATTACTTTTACATGATTCAATAATACAGTTATGAATATAATTATACAGAAGATATTGATTCTCAGCATAATTACTTAGGAATGATTTTTGACCTACACTATATGAAGTAAATAAATAAAAAAACAAGAATTAACAACACATTTTTTAATGAAAACAATCTCTAATAAAATCTGATAATAAAATATGCTTAAATTATTTCTTTAACATTCACATTAACACTATACTTACAAGTTTTTATAATTTGACATAATATAAACGTTAAAGCCTTGTAACAACACAATTAGAGAAGTGGCCTTTTTAATGCTATTTTGATATATTTAAAATGTAAAAGTTCAGTTGAATCACACATGTACAGACACACATATCTTTATATCTCATTTCTCTTCACTGGCTTAAAAATCAAATAAAAGTATGATTACAGGAATAATTTGTAAATGAATTCCTAATTTGTTTCACCCATCTTCTAGAGGAGGAGGTGAATTACACATAACTTTCAAGGCCCCTTGAGTTAAATAGCCAGCAACATTAGGTGCTCCACCTAAAATATAATGAAAGGATAACAGACATTTTTTGTAAAAATACAAAATGCAAAATCCAAATTCCCCACACCTTCTATTTAATTTCCATTATTACTATATGTATGTGATTTGTCAAAACTTTTAAAGATTTAATTTTAAACTGGTATTGATCTTCCCGTTTCCTTCCAAAATCTGCTTATCCAACAAAAAAAAAAAAAAAAAAAAAAAAAAAAAAAAAAAAATCCAATATTTTTTTATAATGTTTTTGTCAATTTTTTTTCTTTGGATTTCTTAGTTTTGCTGAAAGGCATTTGTTATTTAATTTTAAAAAGTCATAAAGCAACACTCAAAAAACTAATTTATGAAAATTTTTCACACACAATTTGAACTAAATGTTTTTCAGGACATTCATATAATTTTGAAAAGTAAAAGTAATAATTTTGTTTACTAGTCAATGTTGCAATACATCAAAATTAAAAAATATTAAAACATGAAACCAACAGACATAAGGTTATTTTAACCCCCTTCTCCCCAAAAGAGAATACACATTTGGAAGAATAATTCTGAATGAAAATGCTATAATTATAGAGCAACATTCATTATTAATATATGAAGAACTTTTATAAATCATGTTAAATATTTTGATTATCATTATTAGGAAACTTTTATTCAATTATTATACATATTTATGATTACCATCATTTAAACTAGGGGCTGGCAAACTATGGCCAGAATTTTCTTGCCCAGGATGAATACATTGGCTGTACTTGCTCCAGCACCTGCACCATACGATACACGGTGACTTCTTTCATTATTACAGCCATATATATATGTAATCATTGATTGTTTAAGTTTCGCATAGTTTAAAACTGCTTTATCTTCTGAAAACTGAACGATTTCAAGAAAATTATATATACAAACAACCTATTGCATTTGGCCAACTCTCAACTGATTTGCTGCATCTCATATAAATCACACTTTTTCCAATTTATCCACAATCCTGGCATGCACATTATACATAACTTGAATTAAAATAATGATATCTTTTTCATATATCCTGCCAGTCACCACAACATATAAAAAATAATTTGCTGTTTAATACCTGTGAAACAAGACTTCTCTATATACAAAGGTGACTGCGAACCCCGTTTCAAAAACCCTGAAATCTAACATAATTTCAAATAATTCAGAATATTAATATGAATCACGTACATATATCCATACACACATATTTTCAAACAATTTCATAACCAAGCAAAGAATAAAGACATTTTTTAATTTATTAAAACTAATTTATGTTTCCCGACATACTATTTACTGTCACCTACCATTTAGGTCTCTAACATTTTAAAAAATAATTGCTAAGCTTCAGAAAATTGCTGTGTTATTTTTCTTTGCTAACAAATGAAAGTTCATTATGATCAGCAATTTTGCTATAGACAATGGCTCTGCACTAGATTAGAACTTAAGATATGCATATTAATAGGTGTTAAAGCTCAGTAAGTGCTAGAAAGAACAAAATGGTTCATGGGATGCAAACAGTTTGGTAATCTGTGAAGTTATTCAATAAATTATTCTTAACATCTTTGCCACTGAGTCTTCACGGAGGAAATTTGTGATCAAAAAGTTGCATATTGTTGTGTGCATACGGATTTGTAACGTATGCTCACAAAATCGATGCAAGATTGGCAAAATTTCCCACTCTCCAGAGAGGGGGGGGAAAAAAAAAAACACCTTTACAGTTTTGAAACTTTCGATAAAAGTTCTCATAGAGCTCTTCTCACAATCAGTAATTTCAAATTCAAGCTACTAAGAACATTAAACAAAACACAATGCAAAGTACATGCAAAGAGTGAAGCTCAAATGGAGATTTCTCAATATTCTGAAGTCTACTCTGAAATGAAAAACTGAGAAATGCTGAGGAATTTCCAGTATTCTCTACTTTTGCGAAATTACTGGAGGGCATATACGGTGAAAGTTACTTTAAGGGGCAGATATGTTTGCAGTTACATATAAGGATCAATCACAGTATCAATGACAGTTATACAAAAACTGGATCCAAGTGGTTTCCAAATTTTGCGACAGAAATTAGTTGCCAAAATCATCACCAGGTTGGTGATATCTTGTCAATTTAACAACATTAAATAGACTTGCCCTTGTAATCTTATTTTTCTGGTAAAGCATTGCATTTCTTCAGACTTTTCATGTTACTTTATACAAAATTTGTAATAACATGTATTTTTGTGTAAAGGGAATAAATTATATTTTATAGTTTGTGTACCAGTTAGGCTATCAGTGTTCAAAGATGGTCTACATTTTGTCATAATATCAGTCATACAAACAAACTAACTTTCAGCAATAGGTCCATGGAAGCAATTTAAAACAGACCAGTTTTTGTAATGCAGGGTTATTTTTGTTTTGCATCTTCTTTTAGCCTGAATACATTAAAAAAAAAAAAAAAAAAAAAAAAAAACTTCACAATTTCTTTTTTGTTTTCTGTAAAATACAAACAATAAAAATAACTATTCTGTATAAGACAAATTTCTTATCAAACTCAATTTGCTCAGATGAGAAGTTTGACTTCTCACTGAGCTTTCTTCAGTCTATGACCCTTTATGTGGTCTAAAAATTCAAATTTTTACAATGTATAATTGATATTTTTTATTTAAAAACTAAATTTGAAAAAGATAATGAGTCTTCATAAACCTGGAAATTTCATATTTGAGAAAATAAAAAATACAGAATTCTGGCTATATCCAGATCAAAGCCACCCTTGCATATATACTCTCCTTTCAATACACTTCTACTTAACATTGCTCAGAAACCATCATATTATTGCGCACATCTGCATTCCTGCGAATTAGTCGGATGTATCTGTCTCACATGTCAGCAGATGAAGTCAACAAATTTTCATTGTTAATGCATCTTAAATTCCTATTTTGCCTCTTATCATTAATTTACAGATATCAGAGCATTATATAGAACAATTAATGAAGGATGATAATTTATGAACAATAAAAAAATATTACAGTGAAAAAATCCAAAATTATCAGAAGGCAAAATACCTGTGAGATAGCCACTGGTTTGAGTTTCACTGATAAAGAGATCATGTTTTTGATCTTTGTATTCAGCCCATATTTCAGAATTTTCTAATTCTTGAGTAATCTAGAAAAATTCAATGCTTCAAAAAAATTCCATAACAATTTAAAATGACAACAAATAATTTTATTCTAACACCAACCCAGTGTAATCAAACATACATAAATAAGAGAATTAAAAAAAAAAAAAAAGATTAGATTAGATTGGCTTATTTTAAAAAGGCAAAATACAAAAGGGGGTAGAATAACATCTCATAACCCCTGTTTCTGAAATTTTTAACCACTGAAACTGCATTTTAAAAAATAAGAAGTAAAGAAAATGGTTATCATGAACAATACTTACAATAAATTGCATTAATAAAATAATAAAAATAATGATATTTTACATTGCCTTAATGGAGAAAAATTTCAAATAAATTCTTATATAAATAAGGGGTCTTACATTACAAAAAATAATCTACTGGTAACAGCATAAAAGACAATTAATTATAAATTAAATTTTAACAACATAAAGAAACATTTCATTTAGAAACTGGGTATTACTACAGAAGCTAAAGACATATACGAAGATATCATAGCTTTTTAAAGAAACAGAAGAACAGGATACTCTAATAATACTGTAAATGACCCCTTGACATATGAATGAAATTCAAAATTGATGTGCTTAAAAAATGTACAAGCAAAATACTATACCAAGGGGGATGAAGAAGCAAATATAGTTAAGTATACATATGGCCACTTGTTTTAAAGTAATCCCTATTTCAATAGGTGTGGAATGAGTAAACAGCTGTTTTAATATTAATAATAAAAAAGATCCCAGAGTTTATCTAATCATTTATTAAAGTGATTAGTTTATTATGCATAACTGATCGCTTTAAGAAATACTAAAATTATGTGACCATGCAACAACAACTCATTTATATAAATTTGGATTATTATTTCCAAGTAAATTTTTGATGCCCCCTATATTTGTAAACATTAGTGGTTTGCTTAAGTTAAAGTTCTAAATTAAGTAACTGTCTTTTTAATTATAAAAGAAGTTTCTTGAACAACATACTTGTCCACCATGCTGTAACGACAAGCACATAGCCTTTAAAACTTGTACTATTTGGGCTTTAACTGCTGCAGTATTTCCTTCAAGTTTTCGCTCCAGAAGACCAAGTAAATATGGCACTAATTTAGCTTCCAAAGCCTGCAGAGAAAAACTCAAATTTAGCGGAAACAAAAATTCAGTAGTAAAACTCTAAATCATGCAGACATGACATATAGCTGAATTAGAACAACTTGCTGATAGGCATGACCCCTTTCATTTGCTCACAATATTTCTCTAGTTGAATATGGAATACTGAGATATTTTAGTGTGAGCTACGCACTTTACACTGCATTGTGCTCAACATTCTTAGTAGTTTGAAGTATAACAACTGAATGTGCTCTGTGATTCTGAGAACTGTACGAGTATTCTTGTGGAACGTTCCAGAACAGTAAAGTGCTTATTTTGGTAAAATAAGTTTTATCAAGCTTTCATCGGTTCTGTATACATTCAATTAACTATGAATCTGTATGCACGCAACAACTTTTGCCCTTAAAAAACATTATTTGCCTAAATATATGTCAATTTTGTACAGTGGTGGCCAAAATTGTGGACACTTTTGGAAATTTTTATGTTTTTGAACTTTGTATGCTTATAGAAAATGTTACGTTTCCCAAAATGCAAACTTGTATATATCATTTTAAAGAGAATTTATTACTGAATTCAATACAAAACACAAAATTCAATTATTTGCAATACAAAAAAGTTATGAGTACTTTAATATAAATAAAAACACAGTTATGAAGTGGTTTGTAATGTCTAGCTTTCCTGGCTAATCACTGTTCTTGTTCTGAGAACCAATCAAATGTTAGTAACTGCCAGTAGAAGCTGATATCATGTTTACACTTGAAACAATTCATTATTTTGCTTTTTTCTGTAGAAGGAGGACCTGTTTCTTATACACTGCAATTACAAGTAGAATTTTTGTAAAAATGTTTAATATTTAGTCAAGAAGCAATGACTTAGTCAAATAAATCTACTCTTTTATTTGATGATTTATTTATCATCAAATAAAAGAGTAGATTGGACACCTAGAAAGAGATGTAATATTATTGTGTTATGAGAAAATGGTCTTTACTATGCTGAAATTGCAAGACAGGTGGGTGGTTCAGTGACTACATCTGGAGTCCGAAAGTTTTGTTTAAGATATCAGGAGATAAATTCAATAAAAACAAAGAAGGAAAAGGCTAAAAAAAGTGCACCACTTCTATTGATGACAGAAGAATAAAAAGACTATGTCTCCAAGATAGAAAAATGTCATCAGTGGCCATCAGAAGTGATCTGAATGATGCTGGTGTTTCTGTCAGTTCAAGAACAATCAGGAGAAGATTAACAGATGTTGGACTGAGAGGTAGAATTCCACGAAAAAGCCTTACCTTAATTTTCAGCAACGAAAAAAAAAAAAAAGACTACAGTGGGCAAAGGAACACATTAATTGGACAGATGATCAGTGGTCACAAGTTATATAGAGTGATGAAACTAAGATATCGTCATTCGGTAGTGATGGGCGAAAATATGTAAGACGTAGAATAGGAGAACTACATCCTGACTGCATTCAAGTAACTGTGAAGAACACAGTTAGTGTTATGATTTGGTCATGCATGTCAGCAGATGGTATTGGTCGCCTTCATGTCATCGATGGGACACTGAATGCCAGAAAATACATTGACACTATTCTAGAACCAAAACTTCTACCTTCCATCAAAGACCTCTTTCCCAACAATGCTTCGTTTATTTTTCAGCAGGATTCTGCTCCTTGCCACATGGCCAAAAATATCGAAAGAGTGGTTTCGTACAAAGAGCATTAAATTGTTGTCATAGCCAGGAAACAGTCCTGACCTCAATCCTATCGAAAATTTGTGGCACAGTTTGAAAACTCTTGTCCAAATGAGGTGCCTATCAAATAAAAGGGAACTAATTGAGGCTATAATTGTTTCCTGGCATCATGTAATAACGAAAGAAGAGCTTAAAACTCTTGTCAGCTCAATGAAACGTCAATGTGAAGCTGTAATAAAAAATAAAGGGTTCCCTAATAAGTACTGATAACTCACTGCAATCATCACTATCTAATGTATATCAATAACTATTATCATTTAACATTTTTTGTATTGCAAATAATTGAATTTTGTGTTTTGTATTGAATTCAGTAATAAATTCTCTTTAAAATGATATATACAAGTTTGCATTTTGTGAAACGTAACGTTTCCTATAAGCATACAAAGTTAAAAAACATAAAAATTTCCAAAAGTGTCCACAATTTTAGCTACCACTGTATATGACAGATGAACTTCTATTATACATTATATGTGAGAGGTTAATAATTTGAAGGTGTTCTGTACATATTTACTAAAGAGCTTAAAAAATCATACTTTGAGGAAAATTAAATGCATTTTCTTTTCACACGAAGGTGAAAATTAGCAATAAATTATAATATATTTTAAATTGTCTGGCTATGCATATAAGATAATTTTCAAAAGATGATGAGCCAATATAGTATTTTGCTCCTTAACTTTTTTAAAAAACTGATTCAAGAAACATTCCCATGATTCAGAAGTTATGAAAACAAGCAGTAAATCATTGGACAAGTAAAGGCAGTAAAGAGTATCTAAATGCTACTGAAAGCACTTTAATAGCAGACTTTAAAAGCACTGGCAATCAAAGGATTCTATAACAACGGGATGTTAATTTTAATATAATGTTCAGCAAGAAGGTCATTTAAACAGTTTCAAAATAATGTAGCTTATGCCCTTGAAGACCAGTGTGGAAAACACAGCACAGCCACGGGACTGACCCCCCCCCCCCCCCCGAAATGGAACGTCGACACCAGCTCATGCATTTTCAGCAGTTAAGCCTATTAAAAAAAAAAAAAAAAAAAAAAAAAAAAAAAAAAAATATAAAATCAACATTTTAATATAATGACCTCAATATCTGAAGTTATGTAATTAATATACTAATTATTAATATGTATTAATATAAAGAATATCACATTAATAGGAATAAATGAAACATCAAAATACTAAAATTATAGTAACTATACACAAGAAAACAAAATTACAAATACGAAATGTAAAAGAAAATAAAGCAATAATTATCTGTAGGTAATTAAATTCCCATTTAATCCCTGCCGTGCGTGGGATAATTCAAAATGACAATTAACACACAGAACAATGATGGCTTTTTTTGCCAAGCAAGTAAGATGCATAATGCATTGGGAAAGTTGATATTTTTTCTTTCTGTAATAATGCTGTAAAGTTACTTTTTAATTAATTAAGAAAATTTATGCTAAATTTTAAAATAAATAATGCAATAATGCAAAGAGTTAAAAAAAAAAGAGAGAGACAAATAAACAAACACACTGCTATCCCTTCAAGTTAAAGAGCTGCAATTCCTAGTTTGTTTACACAAATAAATCTATCAAAACTAGAAGCACAGAACAGAAACTGATGCTCATACATGAAGGCCAAAGCCACATGACTTAACCGATGTGGAAACCACTGCAATTTACCACCATCTACTGGCATTTAAAAATTCAAAATATCGTTCCATTTTCAAGTTAAGGCTGAAGTTAAGTTTGGGTTGAAGAGATTGATCGAAGCTCTTCACACATAAGCGACACTGGGTTGGCAAGAGTGGAATCGTTGCGTCGTGCCTACATGACGTTGGTCCTGAATGGGTTAAACATTTGGAAACACTTTAATTGCTGTAAGTATGATAATCACAATTATATTATTGAAAACAAAAAAATGATTTATTACCAATATACAGAATACAATTTCAGATGAAAAAGAGTTTTTTCCCCCTAATTAAGAAAATGTAGGATATATATATAAATACATATTAATATAACATTTACTGTTCAATTACTTTATACAAATAGATGAATATAAAGTTTTTTCAGTTACTAGAACACTGCTTTATTAAAAAAAACATTCATTAGTGTTTTTTTTTCCATTAAAAATATGTTTATAACAACTGCATACAGGTTTCAGCTAAAAAATATAAAACTTTTGAATCAATTCAACTAGAAAATTATTTACAGTAAAATCCCGACTACCCGCAATCAACTAACCAGGTAATTTTGGAATTTTCTTTTTTTTTTAATACATCCATCCTATCAAAAGAATTTAACCAAATACTAGACTTTTAAAGTCATTATAAAGCAGGTACAAGTCTCTAGAAGCCCTGCTGATAACTTTTACAATGTGAACAGAATTACATGCCTCTCTTTCAGAAAACTGCTTATACATCTCCTGCATCACTGTACCTACTGTACTATCCCAACAATTCATCCATGGAATATGCTACACACGTGGTTAGTAAAAACTGTAGTAGTTCTTATTGTTGGCTATGATACACCTCACAGAAAGAAAAGTGGGGGTTTCTATCCAGTAGAGTTTCCATTAGAAGTTCTTTGTTAATATGACATGGGAATACGAGAGATCCAAAGTTCACAATAGGCGTTAAGTTTGTTATTCGCGATCAGTGCTGCCTACATATTTAAAGGACGTTATCACTAGAGTAACAGACCATAAACATTTAAAGACGAGATAAATCTGGTAAAATTTTATTTATTTTTATCCCAAAGGGGCGTCAGAAGTAAGACGGAACCATACCAGAAGTAATACGGAACCAGCGGAAACATACCGGGAAGTTTAAAGTATCAAACAATTTTGATTCACAATAATGCATGTAGCTATCAGCCAGAATGGTACTTTTGACAATGAATTCCATTGATCCTGCTATTCAGTTCACTTTTGAACTTGAGACTTGCAATTCTTTTCCGTTTCTCGACATTCTGGTCACACGTAACACATCTAACTTCAGTACTAAGGTTTACTGTAACCCTTCATCGGTTTGCCTTCCACCACACTTCAAATCATGTCCGACTAAACAAAAGTTAGCTTCATTTTATTCCTTTGTTTTCCGTGCTCTTCAAGTTTGCTCCTCGAAACTATCCCCTTGATGAAGAACTAAATTATTTAAAAGCAACAGCTATTGACAGGGGCTTTTCACCCAACATTATTAATCAAGCAGTTAAAAAATTCTCATCTCAACACACCAAAAGACACACTCTTGTTTTAGGAGATTATAAAAATTATGCTGTCATTCTCTTCTTTCAATAAATTAGCTAATAAAGTTGCACGCATTTTGCAGAAATTTAACTTTCGGGTCGTTTATTCTCCCGTCAATAAAATTCCGATTTCCATACTCAAGGACCCCATTCTGGATACGAATTTCTGGGGTATTTACAGGATTCCTTGCCAGTATGGTTTAATTTACTTTGGCCAAACTAAGAGAGCCTTAAAATTTCGCGTCAAGGAACATGAGGCACACGTTAGAAAAAAGGAAACATAGAAGTTTCCCAACATTGTTGTTCTGAAAATTACACTTTCAATTTTTCTGCTGCCAAAATTATTCAAAAAACATCTTCCATTGGAGAACTAGATTTTCCAGAGGCATTTCACATTCAAAAAAATCTTTCTGTTCTAGTTAACGATCCTAATTCCAATCCATCTTTGCCTTCGGCCTTTAAAGAAATTATGTTTTAGCTCTGGTTTCATCAACAGATGACGCCAATAGCTTATCTCATGTCCAGACTTTCTTATCTTACTTTATCTAATCATTATATCTTATCTTGTTCATTTGCACTTTTGCAGCTGAAGATTATGGTTCCTGTGAAAATTTGAAAAATATTATGCTGATTTTTGTTGTTTGACTTCTAAATTAATAGCTATTTAACTATTAACTTATCATTTTAATTTTCTACACCCAGTTAGAATTTATTGATAAAATTTGAGATCTCCTCTCTACGGAACAGCATAGAGTATTTTCAAAACTACGGCTGATAATAAGAATGTATTTTAATGGCCATGACATACAACTTCATTTGAAAATGAATAAACAATACTGATGCAACATGCAAAATTATGAAACATGATTGTTGTATACGTTATCGGTAACTTGAATAATAATTCTACTTAAATTGAGAATAATATTTCTTTTAAGCTTCCACTAGAATAATTGCTACAACTTTAATAGCTCCTTCACTAATTTTCCTGATCAATCACATTTTCTAATCAGATAAGATATCTGAATTTTATATGTTGAAGATCTACAAAATACATAGGACTTCATATAAAAATTGCAGGTTTTTTTCTTTTCTTTCTTTCTTTTCTTTTCTTTTTTTTTTTTTTTAAATCTAACATAATGGCTGTTTTTATATTTTAGTCATGGAATTTCTTTCTCTATTAATATCAACTTTTCTACCATATGCATTATGTATACACTCAACTATCCAGAAATATCATATATCTGGAATTCAGCACTATGCAAGCATTTCAGATAGCCAAGCTGTACAATAAAAACACTCAACAAATAAAAGATAATTCAAAGATTAATAATAAAAAAGATGACACTATTCTTTATTAAATATTTACTTTTTCACAGTTTGTGAAAACAACATACGCAGAAAAGACATTAATAAAAGAACTAACCTGTTGCATAAGATCTTCAGTACAATGTGTGAAGGCATTGTTAAGAGCTTCACAAGCAATACCCACCAAATCATTCCTTCTTTTCATAGCTATCATCATGGGGCAGATAAAGTTGCTTTGGGACAGGCATTTTACGCAGCTCTGAAATATTCGACATTTCACACATTAAAAAATCACAATTTACATGAAAATAATAATAAATTATTTTCCCTAGTACATTAAAATAACAATAATTCATGAAGTTTAATAAAAGCTTATTTCTAATGTTTCATATTAAAAACAAAGCTAAAAAAACAACATGTAAGAACGAATATACTATATATATATATGTATATATATAAAAATTGTAGAAAGCTCGCCTAAAAGTTACCAAGAGCTGCTGCTCCAAAAGGTTTAAGACGTTTTCAAAAATTAATACACATGAAAAACAAATCATTAGACATGTGAAACATAAATACAATAAAATTAAAAAACAGAAAAAGTTAAAAAGTAAGTGGAAAATAGTAAATTAGCCCAATTCGACATTCAAACAGGCTTTTCAAGGGAAATTTCATTTATTTGAACGTCGAATCAAGCTAACCCCATTACGCGTTTCGCCGAAACAGACAATTGAAACTTTTTCGCTAAAAAATTTTTTTGACAAAGTGTCTTGGAAATTTTAAGTCTCAATTCTCTGTTCCAATTTCCCGACGCGTCCGCTCAGAATGACACATTAAGGTGTTTAAAATATGTTAATCAAAATCAAACTTTCTAAAATCTAGTCTAAAATTAAAATCAAAACGAAAATAAATAGCGATGAGCTATTAGTCCTAAAAATACAATACATTCGGGCTGGGCCTGCAAGCTTAAAGATTAACAATTTTATTTTTGATATATATATATATATATATATATATAAAGAGAAAATAATTAAATCAAAAATTAGAAAATTCTTCATGTAAGTGTGATGATTTGGGAATGTAAAAAGAACAACAAAATAAATGTAATAATAGGCTTTTGTTTCTAAACCAGTGCTCCCTCAACATACTCTATCTTAACAAAGAATAAAGTTAATGAATAATTGTAATTATTCAGTAAGCATTCATTTATTATAATTACTAATAACTTTTCTGTATTAATTTCACTTTATAATTATTTTACTCCTTAAATTCTTGATATTTTTATATTCATTATAACAATAATCAATATCAAAATATTAAATATTTGGTACTCTACTGTTATCAGGGCAGGATATTTTCTGTATTATATTCAAAAACACTATTTGTTTACCATTTTCTATAACTAGTTTCTTAAAATTATTTTATGCATTTTTCAGATTCATATCATGCTCAAAATAATTGTAAAACTTTTAGCAATAATCTCATTCTCAAAATAATTCTAGAATTCTTAATATTAATTCAGATTTATAATTATTAATCACAATAAAATTTAATATCCTTTCTTAAATTAAGCGATTCAAAAATCTTAAAATTTGTTACTTATCATTAAACATGATTATTAAAAATTACATTTCTAATAACATAAAATTTTAATTTGATATTTTCATCTAATAGTGTTTCATTTTTTAAAAACCCATGTACTAAGAAAACATTACATACTCAAATTTTTTAATAGAACCAATTACTGAGTAAGTTATTTACAATGTAAATGCAATTAGGGAAAGGAAATCAAATATAATTTTCTTGCACTGACATTTGATGGAAATTTTTCAATCTTGTACAGTGAAAACGAATCTGACTTAATTTATTCATTGGAAGATCCAAAGTAATACAGGTTAACATGAAGACCGATGACCTTATAAGGTATTTTCTCTCTCCTTTCTGCATGCCTTCATAGTGTAACGGTAGTAAACTTGGCACATATTCGAGAGGTTCAGGTTCAAGTCCTGACCAGGGTATTAATTAAACATTTTTCATATATTCCTGCTTCAAAAATAACCTAATGTCTCTACAGTAGGGCCCAGACTATAAAGGTGTTGGATGATGATTCTTCACCACCAGGATTTGTCCACCAGGACTGGGTCCCCTAATCCTCAGTCACCCTTTAAAAGGGGAGGTATATAAGGTATTTTCTGCCTCCTTTCTGCATGCCTTCATAGTGTAAAAGCAGCACACTCAGTATTCGAGAGGTCCAGATTCGAGTCCCAGTGAAGGCATTGCTCATTTTTCACAGCTCCTGCTTCAAAATAACCTAATATCTTTACAACCTTCAACACACAATATCTTTTAAACACTCATTAAATCACTTTACTGCAAACATTAGATTGGTTCTCAAAAGCACTCATTAAATTATTTTGACCATTCAAGCACAATTTCTTTTCCCACTTATCATACATTGTTTTGAATTCATCATACAAGTTAGGATTGGCAGAGCTGGTTGAAACATTATGCAATCATTGCTTTAAAAATAAATTTCAGATGAATTTTTACTCAAACATGGATTTCTGAGACAGATGATATGCCTGTAGATTTGAATATGTGAAGTCCTGGGAATATGGAAGATATGAGATGTTAAAGCATGACTTAATAGATTTAATAAGAAGCAGTTGAAGCAGATTTAAATTATATTCCTTTTATATTAATTCAAGTTTTTATGACCACACACAGCTTGGCATACTAATCATGCCTGTTCCAGAATACTTACATTTTTGCAATCGAAAGATGGCCAATCCATTTGAGTGATGAGTTCTGTTTGCAAGTATTCTGACACCAAATATGCTTGACGAGGCTTAACATTGCCATCCCTTAGCAAAACCTCTGGGCCAATAGCACCCCTAAACAGTCTAATTTGGGGTCCAATACCTCGTCCATATATCTCTGAGTGGTTACCGAAACTCCTTGAAAGATATGCAGCCCAGTGCAGACATTTGTTACAATTCCTTCCCAAACCCTTAAACAGTGGTCGCAGAAATGGGGTAGACAAGCTGCGTATTCCTTCCTCTTTCCAGATCAAAACTTGTCTAGAATCAGTGTTCCGACTATACCTGGACTCGTCAATAACCAATACTCGAGCCCAGTCGCCTTGGCTCCACTGAACATGAAGATACCAGTTTAAATGGAAGCTGTAGCGAGTTAGACACAAACCATTGGTTTTCTCGTACACAGTCCTTTGTGCAGCAACAGAATGGCTAAGTGGAGTTCCTATGGCAGTCTTAATGTCTAAAATCAAATCTCTTGCCACTTTGTGGTTTCTTTGAGGTAACAACAGAAAATTGTCTTCTGATGCAGCTGTTGGTCCTGGTCACCCTTGACCAGGCTGTCTATCAACTGATCTAGGCCTTAAAAAGCAGCTCCAAACTCTTGATATGATATTCTGAGAGATATTCAAATCATGGGCAACCTCAATTTGTGTTTGACCTTCCTTGATTCTAGTAATTATTTGCCACATTTGATCTTTACTTAAATGATGCCTTTGAGCCATAAGTATTGAGTACTGATCATTCTTAGAAACCACATTCACTTTAAAGAACACTACAGACCAGAATTCCAACATGTGTCCATTGCACACTCCATTGTCAGTCACCAAATTGTCAGTTTCCGTCACTAATGTATGCATGGAAGTGCAATTTTGGGTTCCCTTGTGTTAAATAATTAAAGCATTGGGTGCTGGTTGCAACATTAACTTAATGAGCAAATTTTTTGATGACCTGTATATATATATATACATATATAAATTATATATATGTGTGTGTGAAGGGTTCTTTTTCTTTATTTTTAAAGTTAATTTAAAGTATTTTTCCTAAACTAGAAAATTCTAAAAATCACAAGATCATGGGGGGGGGGGAAATACCTCAAAGCAGTTTCTAACACAACTTCAAATAGAAACTACAGACAAGTTTAATAAAGAATTATTACACATTGGAATATGATCATATTTATGTTGTGATTTTAAAAGCAACAAGTCTTTCCATTGTTTTAAACTTGCAATAATTTTTTTTTTCCTCTCCAAGTTAGTTAAAAGCATAAATGAGGGTTAAATTAAATCACCCTTAACTAGAAGAAAGGAAGTTTAATTGGATCTTTAAACTATTAGCTTTCTTATGTAACACACATGGCATACAATAACCACCCTCCATGCCACAGTATTTCATAAACTTGGTTAAATTTCCTTTTTGCAAACACAGCATGGAAAAATATATTATTATGCTTAATGTTAAAAAAGACATTTCAAAGCTAAAAATTTATATACAAAATAAATAAAATCAAAGTGTGAGGATTATGTTAATTTTATTAACAGTTAAATTTTAAGTTAAAGTTCCTTTCCTGTCAAATTCTTAACTTCAACTTACTACTTCCGGCCAGAACGTAGTTTTGGAATCATTCTGAATACTTAATGAGAAGGAGGGGTATTTAAACCGCGAAGTCTACTTGTAGAATTAGAGAGAATCAGAGTTTCTGATTTGCATGCGTCTGCCTTTTGGCTACTCTCAAAGCTGTTATTACGCTCGGGGTACTCAGGCCCTTGATAAGCTTCATTGTCAAATAGAGTTTAAGGGGCCAACTCGTTTAGAATCTTGATAGCTTCGGCTATATTTCTTTAGTTAATCTTAGTTTTAGTTTATTTCTTAGTCTCTTAAGTTCAAGCTCAAGTGTCGGCTTTTATTGTACACACCAAGACAGAGTTTTGTTAAATCTTATTGGATAAATAAAGGGTTAGTTACCCTTTCTTCTTCTTGTTTCTTGTTACACGAACTTAAGCGATTATTCGCTAACTAGTTCTTAAGACTCGTCGCTTTCTACAGTAACTGAGAATTATGTAATCCAAGACATTTGTAAGATGTATTTGCTTGTTTCGCATTAGATGTACTCAAAAATCACAACTCATATCACATCTTTCTGACTGCTGTTTATTTAATTAAGACACAAGATGATTGAAATGTGACCGGAAGGTTTTAGATTAGATTTGATTTGAATGAAATTGGGGACCAATTTTTTACATTTACACTTAAGTAAAAAGTCAAGATGATTCAGGAATTTTTGCCGTTTCAGGCGTAATTTAGTGAAATGATTAATGGATGAAGGCATGATAAATAATGCAGAAAATCAAACTAAATTAACTAACCAATAATAAAGCACACACATTTCATTTGCTAAAACTGTTCATTTGTTAAAATGTTGATTCATAGTCCAATTTCAACATGGAAATAACTTAACAAACGTAACATTTGTTATTTTAGATTTTTTATCATTATTTGTTTATTTTTTAAAGCATGAATAAGGGTGTCTAACTGCCTTTTACTTTATCACAAAATCTGCTAAATAAATTACATTGATAATTGGCTTAATAGAAAACATTTCATTACTAAGTAAATAAATCATGGCTAGGCAGCTATTTATTTAACAAAATGCTAACTCCCATTAGAAAACAAATAACCATTTTGGTCTGTGGCTAGTGGGAAATATGAAGGTAGAAAGGAATATCTAGTAATTTTAAGTTTGGTTTCGACCAATTTTTCTAATGACTCTGAAGTATCATTTGGAAGAACCTTTGAGTGAACACTTAGAAGCAAGGTAGACAATTAAGAAAGTAGCAAGATGGCTCAGTGTTTCAAGATAAAACATTAGTGTCTGCCTTATAGAAAAAAATTAAAGACAAATTCTTGCTAGAAAGCAAGGTGATAAAAGAAAGCAACTAGTTTTTTTCAGTTTTACTCTCAACTTCACGGTTACAGGAACCTGAGAGTTTAAACTTTAGAGTTTACACCAGACACTGGAAAAAATTTAAAGACAAATTCTTTCTCAAAAGCTTGAACAAGGTGATAAAAGAAAGCAACTGGCTATACCCCCTAGCTTTATTGTCAATTTCACTGTAACATGAACCGGAGTGTTGGGCAACAAATGCCTTTATGGTTTACAGTAGACACAAGAATTAATAATCCCAACAGAGCAATTCATGAGTCAATGGTCTGTATCTTGTTGACACACAACAAAAAAGGACAAAAAATCAATATGTCAAAAATTCTGCCTGTATTGGCACATGGAATTTCAAAGTTGGAATCTATACAATTCATTACAAACCATGGCAAATACTTATGTTCTCTTCTTTGAAGAATCAACCTTCAGAGTAACATCTTATTCTGAATATATTTACACCTCTGTAGAAAACCAAGGAAATAATTCCACTAACAATTAGGGAACATAATCATTATGGCACTGCAGATGACAAATGGCTTGATAAAGAATAATGATCAATGAATATATTCTCGTACACATATTTGACAAAAGATCTTATTTGACCAGATATATCAAGATGAAGTGTTATATTATACTGTTGTTGTTGTTAATCCTCAAGTCCAGCTTCTGCTAGACGAGATCCATGAATTTATTCACCTTCAAAAGTCATAGACTAGCATAGGAAACTTATCCAGGTCATCGTAGGACAAACCCAGACACTTAAGAATATGTGCCGGAGAAGCCTGCTCTTGTTACATTTTGGACAAATCAGTAGTGTTTTTTTACCTCTCTGGAAGGCAAGGCTTCTTAAATGGCCACTAAGAAAGTGGGAGAGTGGTGTCTGGGTGCATCTGTCACAGTTCATAGCTAGGGATCCACCAGGGGATTCAACTCAGTACCAGGAGTGTGAGCAAGTCATTTTATCAGTATGTTTTCTGGTAGAATACAGCTCAAGCTAAGTCAAACAATTAGAAGTATCCAAAGCCTCCTCAGCACCCTTCTTTGTTAGTGTTATATTATGATCTATGTTAAGACTTTATAGAGATGCATGTGGGTCTCAATTTTCTTTCTATGGTGTCTTGAATTTCATTAAAGGAAGGGAAATAAATAAATGAACTGGCCAACCCAGTTTCCTCATCTGAAATGCACAGAAAATTTACGAGATATCCTAGGAAGTGTTGTCACAAAGCTAAATTCTCCTACATATCCCAATGTCTTGAAAATCATATGGAAGGAAGAGTGGATCTTACTGCCCTAATTAATCACTACTGGGAGTATGAAACCTATACTCTGATATGCATATACAAGTTAGGAAGGTCACATTCTCTATGTCAAAAGTTTGCATTCATATCTTACTAAACTTTATCTGTATCAACATATTATTTCAGTCTTTTTTCCTAAATTGTTTTATATCATATGCATTCACATTCAATTTCTTAGTTTGTACTTATGTGTTATGATTCTACATATAAGCCAAAATAAGTTTACTCAATTTCATTCAAGAACTTTTGATAAATTAGAAATCTTGTGCCCATAAACACAATTTCAAATCCAAGCATATTTTCTCTCTTTTTTTTTTTTTTTTTTTTATCAGATGACTCCAGATTTCATTTGATTATAAACTAGAAACAATTTGTTGCTAATTATTAATGGTTTTGAACAAAATATTGAACTCTGTGAATAAATTTTTCATACAACAAAATAACTCTGCGACATAATTAGTTAAGTATTACAGTATTTTAACATTTCAGAGAAAAACTTAAAAATCAATCACTTTAAATAATAATAATAATACAATCAGTATCATTTCTAAATCATTAACTAATATAAAAAGTGCAATATAAGCTGAAAACATGCTTGTAATATAAAGTTTATACCAAGATTTAAACTAGAGTAATATAAGCTCAGCATGAAATTTATTTTATGTATAAAGTTAGTATAGGATTTACATTCTTATATAATATAACAGTTTAAAATTAACAAAAAAGTTAAGCTTACTCTTAAAATTACTTCCACAGAACATGAGAAATTTTATCTTATACAGTTCTGTAAGAAAGATGACAAGAAAAAATCTCACAGTTTTTTCAAGAAACTTCTCTTAATAAGTTTTACACTCTCATAGATATAAAATATACCAAATACAAAGAGATGTATGGCAGTATATGTACTTTTCTAAATTTTTTTAGTATGCATAAGAAATGAATGCGCCAGGGAGACTGCATCTCAGAGCAAATATTAGTAACTGGAGAAAAAAATAAAAAGCCCCTGAAATGCATATAATTAACAAGCTATTTATCCATTAGTTAATTATAACAAATAACTACATCTTTAATTAGGTTAAAATGGAATAAAATATTCACATCAGAATTGGACAATTGTCTGATGATTTGAAGACAAGATCCTGATACAGCATCATGTTGTTTAGGCATGACTTGTAAAAGTCGAGGAATGTGTCCCAATGCAGGCACTTGGTCGAGAAGAGATGGCTGAGCTGACAGCAGGCTTACAAGAGCTTGTGTTAATGTTTCAAGGACTTCATTCTAACCGGAAAAATACAAACAAAAAATTCAAATAAGTTATTACAATTCATTCTAAGATATGAAATCCTAACTACTGTACTTTTTCATTTCAAATGTTTTAAATTTAAAACAATAACAGGATTTTTTATAAGTTCTAACGTCATAATTTTTGATACCATTTTGGATTATTACTTAAGCTATCATATACATTAAAATTAGCATTTGATAATAGTTTTCCTTTACTTTACATGAAAATATATGTAAAAATTATTGCTTACTTTGAGAAATAATTTTTGGAAGCACTATTCAAATTATTATGAAGTTTTAATTGACAGAATACATTAATCAACCTTAAAACTAATAAAAACAATACAAGAAAGACTATTTACAAGAATTAACAAATCCTTTCATGGGAAGTGGAAGGCAGGCACTCACTGACATGAGTCTCTGACAAAATGTCTCTTAGAATCACTAGAAATATCATTCTCTAACTCTTAAGAAAATGAATCATCACTCTCATCCATGGCATTAATTGGTTCATTTACCATGCGAATAGAATCTCTCCTCTGATAAATAATATTTTCTTGCTATAATAATTCAGAGTCTCCCGAAATAAAAACAGAAATGCATGAAACATATGTGAAAGCATAACAGAACCCTACATACTAACCCTAAAAGACCTTGCATATTAGTGAAAAAGGAATAAAAAAAAGATTGAGGAATATCAGAAATGCTAAATCTTATATCACATGACGAGTTCAAGAGCTGAGATCTGTCTGTTTACACTATGCTTTCTGTCCTATCTCACAACAGTTGATACTAAAGTCAGGCATAATGTGTTCAAACTGAAGATCAAAAACCTTCTATGAACCTTCAAGAACCAAGCTATGTTCAGTTCAAAAGTATTAGACACAGGAAACCAAACATCTAGTGTTTTTTCAAAAAATGTTTTTGCTTAAAAGACATACATGCAACAACCTAAGCTCATTCTCCAGCAATACATGACTGGGACATCCGGTTGTGACAGATATTTGCATACAAGGAATGTTCACCCGGAAAGGTTAAATATCAAAATAATTTTTGTAATGGAAAAAAGGCTATCTTTATAAGTTTGTTTAACTATTTTTAGTTCCAAATTTTTAAATTTATTTAAAAAATGTTTCTGTTTTGCAAGGAGAAGGATGTTACACATTTTTTACTGCAATCAAATTTACAATCTGCAGGAACATATTATTGCAAATGAGGTGGATGAAACACAGAACCATAATTTAAGAGTAACAAACTTTAATCACAGAAAAGTTCTCATGAACAAAAGACATAACTTTTTGTACTTACAAAGAATTCTAAAAAAAATTACATTAGTGTTTCTTTTTGCTAAAAAAAAACAGCTTTTTTAAAGGTACACATGAAATTTCCTGAATTTACATGATTAAAACCATATATAGTTGGCATTATTCTCCAAAGTAGGAAGGATACAAATCAATATAATGGTATTATTTAAAGTTTCATGTAACTAATATTAAAAAATTAATAATCTACACATATTTGCAGTTTTTATAACAAAAAATTGGCTTCACGAATTGAATATTAAGGAGCAGTGAACAGAAAATAATAACATCAGGCTTTAACAAAAGTTTCCTGCCACCGCAAATATCATTTGTGCAAACAGTTTAGGTTGGTGTGTTTAATCATATTCTGTCAAATGATTTTTGGCATTTGAGCGGAACAAGCTTGCTTTAGAGCACTGTGTTGTGAAATTTGTAAAAAAATATCATTAAGTACAAGGTGTTTGAAATAGAACTATTACACTACCAGATTAGAACCATTATTTACTTCCAGTTCTGCTGCATTAAACCAGCTACAGAATATCACCCAATCATGTGTACAGCTATAAGCACAAATGCTGTATCATATGACACTATGAAGGTTTGGTACCGAAAGTTCAAAAACAAGGACTATGACGTTCAAGAAGCAGAGTGCTCTGGCTTGCCTGCGAGAACCTGTGGTCGAAGATCAGTACGCAACAACTCGTGAGCTTGCTAAGAAGTTATTAGTGCCATGTCCATTAGTTGCCCTGTGCATCACATAAACTTGACATACTAGTTCAATTGCTGGGTGCCACATGAACTGACTCAAGCAGCTAAGGACAGACATGCTCAGGACTGCACTAATCTGCTCAAATATCAATGCAAGGACAAAATTCTGGACTGGATCGTTCCTTGTGATGAAAAGCGGATTTACTTCAACAACTCAGACTGAAAAGGGGGTTGGTCTGCGCCTGGTGAGCCCGTCAGCAGCATCGCAAAGTGCAATTTGACTAGCAAAAAGATCATGCTTTGTATCTGGTGAGATTGTCATGGTATTATCCATGAAGAGTATCTGGAAATAAGTAAAACCCTCGAAAGTAAGGTGTACAGTGAATTGCTAATCCATGTTGATGCTGCTTAAAAAAAAAAAAAAAAAAAAAAAAACATTGAACTGTGTTCAGGAACAAAAAAGTAATGTTCCATTAAAATAATGCAAGACCACATGTGTCTGCATTTACCAGCTGGACTATGTATGGACTCGAATGGGATCTTTTGCCACGCCCACTATACAGCCCTGACATCATACTTTCGGATTTCTACCTTTTTTCACAACTCCAGCTACATCTTGTTGGTGCTAGCTTCCATTTTGCACAAAACATCAGAAATTAGGTTTATCTGTTTTTGGACTCACAACCACCAAGTTTCTGGCCGAAGGCTTTGAAAAACTACCAAAACATTGTCACAGAATCACAGATTTGGGTGGTAATCTGAGATAAAGATGCTGCTTTCATGTTTTTCCCCTTTACTTTATTAACCCTCTGTCTGATCATCCCGCGATTTCCATGGGCAACTCAAATGTAGCAAAATTTGCTCATCCTGCGATTTCCGCGGGCATATGTTTTTCTTCCTTTATTGAGGAGCGCATCCTGTATTTTCTCCGTTTAAACCATTGAACTAAATTATATACAGTATTAGGCATTTAGTTTACGTTTTGGCCAACATATATCGTTAGTTGTCCACTAAACTGGAGCATTTGAAGGCACATGATATTAGCTCTCAAAAGTTCGTTTTTTGCCGCTTTTTTCTTACAGAAATGGCTGCTAGAAAACATTCAGTGATTATCTTAATCATTTAATTAAATTATTGAATTATATTTATTGATTAGATTAAAAATTAGATTGATTATTAATTAGATTTATTGAATCTGGTGCAAAGACTGTGAAGTTGGACTTTGCCTTGAACCCTGTTTTGAACTCTATCATACTAAACTGCATTTCTAAGGTATTTTTCCTTCAGCGCTTTATATTTTCTTAAATTTTATACATTTTACTTTTTTATATTATGTAATAAATAGAAATTAACTGTAATTCGACTGAAATTTATTTTAAAAAAGATTTTTTTTTTGGTGATAACATCTGAAATTGGTTTTTCTGACAGCTTAAGTTTCTCATGATAAAAATCTATATAAAAAATATTTTCTAGAAAGAAAATTTCTAGAATTTCTAGAAAGAAAAGTACATTTTTCAATTCTCCAATACATATAGATTTAAAATATGCAAGGAAAAAATACACAATTTTGGAAGCAATTTCGGTCCACAAATTGAGGGTTAAGAATGTTTTTGAAATGAACTTTGGTTACAGTCAGATATAAAAGAACAGTAACTTCATATTCTTTTACTTCACACTAAAATGATTTCAATTGTACAGAAATTTAGGAGAGAAGAAAACTTACATTGACATTATCTTTAGACATCATTGCATATAACCTATCTAACAACTCTGTGAGGAATTCTTTTGGTCTTCTAAGCACCCAAGATGGATTTTGAATAAAAAGACGTAAGTGAACTCCAGCAACTGTCATTTCTTGATCTTCAGAAACAGTTAAGTACGATTCGTTTGGAGCCTAGGAATAACAAACTTAGCATATTAAATTTTTCTATAATTACACACTTCAGTAGGTAATGCCTAATTATGCATACTATTACTATACTATTCATAAACTAAGGATTAATTTTTGTTTCCTTGCAAAAGAACTTTATTAAAATCTGGCATTGAAAAATCAGTCATAAAACTAGTAATCTACAATTCTGGATTTTTTTCCTTTCTTCCCCCCCTTTTTTTGAAAGGTTTTGCAACATAGCATGCAAAATTCCAGAATGTTAACCAAAAATAATATAAAGAAAAACAGTACATACATCTTAAAATTTTGTATGTGAAAATGTATTGTAAGCAAAAGTGTACTTTTTATCCTAATAATTTTCCTTCTACTGACACACAACAAAGTAGTGATGATTCTGTAATATTATAAAATGAATTTTAATGACATCATCAGATTTAATTCTTAGGATGATTTTGTCAATGTCAAATTTTCCCTTTCAAAATCTTTTTAATTTGTTTAAGTCAATCATAAATATGGCAACACAGTGAGAACAATAATTTAGTATGATACGGTGATGAATTTTCCTTCTACTGACACACAACAAAGTAGTGATGATTCTGTAATATTATAAAATGAATTTTAATGACATCATCAGATTTAATTCTTAGGATGATTTTGTCAATGTCAAATTTTCCCTTTCAAAATCTTTTTAATTTGTTTAAGTCAATCATAAATATGGCAACACAGTGAGAACAATAATTTAGTATGATACGGTTGACTAACATAAAACGTAGCTATTTTATTATTAAGCTATAAAAGAAAGATACATTAATTATACTACCTTTACTTTGGATTCACAATTGGTAACATCATACACTAACTTCAAATGAAATAACTGATAAAATGATGTAACATTTAAAACAAAAATTATTTCTCAGTATATGATATAAGTTATTCCATTTCTACTAATGCTCATAATATTTCTAATTAATTTTATTGCACATGTACTATTTAATAAATACTTCAGAAGAAAATCAATTTTAAAAAATCATTGTTAAAAACATACCTACAAAATTCATGAATGAATTGTATGAAATAAAATAACACTTAGGAAGAATAGAGCATTTTAAAAACATTAGTGCTTAAGCATTTAACTGTTTCATTTTTTTCCTTGAAGTCGATCCAAAATATGCCACAGTTTTTTATTACATCTTTTTGTTAATTCTACATTTGAAAGGAGGAAAATGTTATTAAAATTAACATTTGTAACATTTAAAAAAATTTAGAACAACTTTTTCTCCAGCAAATAAAATAAATTTTTTTCTGGAAGTTGACTTTTCTTCCTACATGAACACCTAACAAAAAGAACATGATTTAATAAATAAAGGTAACACACAAAACGTTAAAAAAAATGCCCCTTTGGACGTAATTTAAAATCTGAAACCTTTCAGGATTTTTTAAAAAATTTATTATTATTATTATTAACTTTTTTTTTTCTTTACTAATGAAATCTACAGTTTTTAAGAGTAAGCTGTATATTAATTTGCCTGCACCAATAGAATGACATGTAATCATTTTGTTTATGCATTTTGATCTACTCTATGTCAGTGTATATAATAGAATCAAATGAAAACCTTAAATTGTAATAAATATTAGATTTTCTACCACTGTTCTATACGTAAGCAATACAGTTACCAATGCTTTAAAGAATGGCCAACAGCTGGAAGCATACTTTAGACATGGGCAACACAGCCACAAATTCAGTTTAAAATGGCAGCAGTATTTGCAACTTATATTTATGAAGAACAATGTTCTGCCATATGTTTTATGAGCACTGAATGTACGAAACCTGTTGAAATCTAGCGGCGAACGAAAGTCCAGTATGGTAAGGCATGTTTATCACAGCAGCAAGTGTATGAATGGAAGTTTAGAAACAAAGTTGCTTTTGTGGCAAAAGTTCTCTGTCCAAGTCAGGTACACTGCACTGTGCCATCAGAGTCTACTGCAGCAGCTAAAGCCACTGTGGTGGACAACTGTCATGTGATGGTGGATATGAAAATAACTGAAAATCAGAACATTAGTCATGGCCCAGCACATCAAATTATTCATGACATCGTAAGATATTTTCTCCCTCTTTCCAGCATACCTTCATGGTGAAATGGTAGCACAACTGGCACATATTTGAGAGGTCTAGGTTCAAGTCATGGCGAAAGCATTGCACATTTTTCATGTCTCTTGCTTCAAACAACCTACTGTTTCTATAGTGGGGCTCGAACTAAAAGGTGGTGGAATAATTCGTCATCACCAGGATTTGTGACTGGGCCCCCTAACACTCAGTCACCCTTTAAAATGGGGTGTATATAAGGTATTTTCTCCCTCCTTTCAGCATGCCTTTGTGATGTAAAGTTAGCATACTCTGTGTGAATTCGCGAGGTCCAGGTACGAGTCCCAGAGAGGGCATTGCGCATTCTTCACATCTTCTGCATCAGAAATGACTAATGACTCTACAACATGCTTAAGTTTCACAAAGTGTTTGCAAGGTGGGTGTCATGGCATCTCACTCCAGAACTGAAAGAGCAACACTCTGACACCTGTGAAGAAATTTGTGGTGCTTTGAAGCAGAAGGTGATAGCTTCCTTGAGAAAATCATTACAACAGACGAAACCTGGGTCTATTATCACTGACCTGGCTCTAAAACAGGATGCAAGAAATGGCACCATTCCTCAACCTGAAAACCCAAGTTCCAGGTGCAGCCATCTGCAGGAAAGGTTATGCTGACTCTCTTTTGAGATGAATGAGGCATTATCTTGGAATACTACATCTGTTGTCTAGATGAAACACCATTAGCAGCGTGTCATATCTCAATATGTTGAAAAATCCCCTTCAGCCTGTAATTAGATCAAAGGTATTAAAGCTTCTGACTACAGGTTTCACTTTTGCAACCTGTCAATGCTTGGCCTCAAGCAGTTCATGCAATAGTTGCAAACATCACTCATCTAGCATCACCCATATCCCCAATACTCATCAGACCTAATCCCAAAATCTCACAGGTTTGGACCACTCAAAGAAGAGTTGAGATTAAAGAAATTTCATTCCAATAAAGAGGTTGCAAAGGCATCGGCAAACGGGCAATATAAACTCAAAACTGTACAGCAAACTGCCAATTGGCGAAAGATGGTCTAAACACGTATGGCAGCCTTACAGGCTGATGGAAAGGGATGAGTTTTTCTCCATGCTTAACCGGGACATGTGATCCATATGTATGCTGGGCCGTTTTCTGTTCTTTTCAGGTCGTTTTAGTGCTGCCAACTATGCTGTTTTTTATTATTAAATTTGATTAGTAATTGCTACATGCATATCTTAATTAAAATCACTGTTTGTCTAAGCAATGCTATTGACCCTCTCTTAGGCACATGTTGCACATGCGTACCTCAAGGTGTACCAAGTGGTGCAGGAGTGGCTGTGCACAGCACATGACTATAAGAATTTTTTTCCAGAGGAATCCATGCACTTCAAACCCTTGTAGAAATTGTGCTGAATGTCAGGAAGACTGTGTGAAAAAATTATACATTTGTATTCTGCATTTGTTCAGAAACCACATGTAAAAAAAAAGCTTAAAATTTTCATTTGACTCAGCTCCATATTTACTGTTAATAGTTCCAAGTCTAAAACACATTTGGGATGACAATGTGCAATTTACCCATAAACAATTTTTAAAACACTAATATATAGAGTAGAAGCCAACACAAGTTGCACTGGCAACAAGCAAATAATGTAATAAAAATAATGTCACAAGCTATGACCTAGAGACACTGTACTCTGCTAATTTTTGAGTTTAGAAACAGTGTAAATTTGATTTTTTACAGTGTTAAGTTTTAATATTGAGGAATAAAATACTCAGGAAAAAATTTAACATACATGTTTTATTTCCTTAGTATTAGCTAATTTTAATTCTATGTAAGTGAGAATATATTTACAATGAAAAACTAAATAAAAAAATAATTAATTAAAAACTGGATTTAATTACAATGCATTGATATAAAACTGGAAAATTTCTGTAGGATACACAGTTTATGTACACCACTGAGCAAGAAATATTATATATAAGCATGAAAAATAAAAGTGCACAATTTTTTATTACGCAGCAATTTGGCTGGCTTGCTTGACCCCTAATTACAAAATAGTTTTGAAAACAAAATAAATTGAAATTAAAAATATTTAGAGTTAACATCTAGTTCCTCTTCTTCAAACAGCATTTTATGCCTTTTTCTATTTTTATTTTAAATAGAAAAAGTCATATTTTCATAACAGCAATAATAATCATCAGTTTTTTTTTGTTTTATTAATATTATTATTTCTATTATCAGCACATTAATAGCAGATGTCTAAAAATCAAAATTCTTTTTTAATATATAAAATTTGAATATCTACAATTTAAAAGAGAACTTCTTTAACAAGAATAAAAGGCATTATAGAAATTTCATTCTTAATACTGAGGGAGAGAAAATGTCTTAAACTAAAAATTTACCTTCCATTGGGTTTGAGGATTGTCCTTGAATTTTATAATGCCTATAAAATATTTTTAAAATATATTATTTTCAAAGAAATTTTTGAGCAGGCACGTAAAAACAAAGATAACAATGTTTATAAATAAAATACGGATTCTGTCTTTTTAAAATAATTAATTAGTTAATGGTAAAAAAATGAGGAATTGTTCTTTGTCAAAGTAAGATTACTATATTTTCCTTAAATGAAATAAAGAAAATACGAAATAATTTAAAATTTTCCTTTCTATTGAAAGAAACAATAATGATACATTTTTATTATTCACCGTGTGATGTTTGGGATATATAGGAAGATGATTGTAAGGCAGTTCAGTCTCATACAGATTACTCTTTTTATTAATAACTATAATAATATAAGATCTGAAATTATAATTTATATTTGTTCAAATTCAAACAGATCGATTTCACTTATCAACTAACTGTGAATATTTCTTGGCTTATCCATTTTATTTGAACCACATAAATTAGCAGTTAAAACCATCTTACAAGATTTAATATATACAATAATAAAAAGACAGTAAAGTTATGATATTGTAAATTAAATACAGGGGGATTTATGATTATGTAAATAATTTTGCTGTGTTATAGCAGATTTAAGTTATTCAATTAAAGCAAACACATAAGGACTATGTGAAAATGCCATTCAAATTCTAATTGAGAGAACACCAGGGGATAAAATCCAAGGATCTTGCAGCCCTTATTATCTAACCATCTACATCTTAAGAAGCATTCTGAATTGTCACCTTACCTATATCAAATTGCATAGTAATTCAATCCTGGTTGCATTATTATGACAAGAGGGAGATGTCCTTAATTTATTTACACAGCAGTATACTGTTTTAAGGCAGATTTTCAAGATTTTTAGATTACATAGTGAAGTCCATATCGTAGAAGAAATTCTTCAGTTTCCCTCATAAAATATAGTGGCAGGACGTACTATCAACTTTGTGCCAAGCAGGCATAGAACTTTAGATACATTGATTTGTTGATAAAATATTTATTACTATTATTATTTGTAATCTTCTTTGATTATGATCTTTTTTTTCCTTACAGTTAAGGTCCTGTATCTTCTATTTTCTAATGCCTTACCTTGATATGGCATCAATATGAAACAATCTAAATCTTCAAGTGTGCTTGCTTTATTTTTCAGTTTTCAAAGTTAAAACTACATTACAGGTTATTTTTATTTACATGGACCATAGATTTTTTGTGTCATTATTTTTAATGCCATTTAGTCTAACAGCAGTTTGCTACCCATTTGACAGAGGTATTTCAAGACCTGCAGAAAACTCAAAAACTTTCTTTCTCCACATAAATTAGGGGTATCTTTATGCCAATTTGATTGACAAAATGCTCTGGTTTAAAAGAAAGAGGCTCTGCATGTCATCCATTCAGTTTTAAGAATAGTACGTTATATTTCTTTAAATATCTGCAAAAAACTCAAAATTTTTCACACAAATTAGTGGTAACTGCTTCTTTCCTCAACATTTATTTCATCTACAAAAAGAATATTCCAGTTTAAAGGAATATTTAATATATACAATAATAAAAATCATACAAAGTGGATTCAGTTCCAAGCAAACTGATCATTAATGATTTAGACCAGTGTTTCTCAATCTATAGTCCTCCATGATTTCCAAAATAAATAAATAAATAAAATTAAAATTAATAGCACATATCACATATTAAGACTCTGGAAATCACACACAATTTTTTATCATTCTTTCTGTCAAGACAGCCATTTTATGAAATTTGTTATTGGTTGACCTACTGAAGAACAAAGGTTGAAAGGACTATGATTATGGTGCTTCTTGCCATTGCTTTGCTGCACATCTGGCATTCGTGAATTTATCACCAGAGAAAACAAAATACAGTGCACTCTACAACTGTGTTTTAAAAATTATGATTCAGTTGGCCACTATGTAAATGTATAACAACCAACTCAAATAAAAACAAAATTGCTGAAATGAACTTGGCATACTGAGCCAATCTCATGCTTTACAGCATACATCCAAATACTGAACCAGTTGTGCAAAAATTATCATGCTCATCCATTTCATTAAAGTGAACATGTATTTAATTTTTAGTTAGTAAAATAAAAGATCATCCAAAGTTTAGCATCCCTGAATTATTAAAAACAAATACAATTTTCCTCTGTTAATAAAAATGGTTATAAAATGAAACAAATTTTAATTAACTATATTTTAAAAATATAAGTTAATGATGGTAACATAATGCTAAAAAATTGCTTTCGAAGGAGATAATAATAAAATGGTCCACAGAACATTCTAATTTATAAAAGTGGTCTTCACTTGAAAAACGCTTTGATTCAGATTGTTTCTTAGCATTTGCAAGAGCAACTGTCTTTCAGTTATATGAAAATATGTTGTTGTTATTACTAAATAGAAATATATATATATATATATAAACCAGGGAACAGTAAGAATTCTACTACTGTATGAAATTCTGTTTATCTGCAGTAAAATATTACATTTACAGTGAGACAAAGGCTATAAATATCTCATTATTCATAATAGAAGAAAGCCACTTTGAAAATTGTTTCACATTATAGTATAAATCACAATATTCACATGATGACAAATATAATTCTTCAATGTTACTCCTGAGATTTTCATAACATACATTTCTCCAAACGTGCATGCCTAGATCCCAGCATTTGTAAAAGTTTCATAGAGTCATATATATATATTTTAAAGGCTAGTATTTTCAAAACTGGTTGGTAGATGGAGGGAGTGCTAGAAAATGACAACTTGATTCATCTTTGATAAAGGTGTATGAAAGGCATTTCTCTGCTATGAACAGACAAGATATATATAATGTAACTCATCAATAATTTTAATGCTAATGATGGAAATTATGTGTCAAAAACATGTATTTACATTAAAATCCAGAAAGCCAGTACAAATATTTGTACCAATCATGCTTCACTGAAAAATGTGCCTAAAATTAGCATAACGGCATAAGACTGAATGAATGGAAGAAGCTAGCTGGATCCGGAATGAATTTTTTCATCTGTTAGATCTTAACAAACGTCATACATCTGGTTCTGTACTGATATTTAGGGAAATGTGGTTTGGTGGTGAAAGCCAATTTGACCAATTCCGAGTAGGTAGCATGATTCAAGATTTCTTCGAAGAAACCTTGTATTCACCTAACATCTATAACCTACTGAGACAGCCACCCAGACTAGGCATGTCTTTACATGACAAAGATATGAAAAAGAATTTTCTCTGACTAGATATTAGTTTATGGTGACTTTGTGGCACATAAATGCATTAAAACCTGCTGCAGGTTACCAAAAGAAACATTGCAATATTCAATGTTTTTCTGGATAATAACCAGTATGACAGCTGAAATAACACTGAAGAGCAAAACCATTCTATATGAATAGTCAATATTTAGGTAGTCAATATTAGGTCTATATTTTTAAGTGCAGATTTCACATACTGATACCACAGCAAATTGTAAGTAATAGAGGGGGTAGATTATATGTTGGCTAGATTAAGGTCGGCATAAAAAGAGCACTGGTAGTGAATCATCCTGTATCCCAAATGCCTTATCAAAAGATTCAAATTTCTATTACTTCATAAAAATTTTGCAGTGCATTTTTATGCCCATTGGAAAAATGTGAATGTATAAAAGTTTGTAATTTTCCATACTTTAGTATTTATATCAGGTAACTTTTGCAAAATTTTTGCTCCTGAATTTTTAATAATACACATACAAAAATTTCAAAAAATGATTTGTGTTACACAGAAAACCATAAAATTACATGAATAATCCAAAAGTGACCATGTTTACTGTAAAATATGGAGCTTTCCGGGGATTTTAAATAAATAATGTACAGCATAATGTCTAAATCGGATATAAAAATTGCAAAGATTTTTACATGAAGTTAAGCCAAATTTCTCGATCATGACCAAGAGATTCTCTCTTTGCATGGGGGAGAAGTGTTGTTGTGCAAGCCTCCTTATTCAAAAATGACTTTCCAGGAGCAAGACTCAATTCAAACTGCTACACACAGAGAAACCAATGAGAAGGATAATATTGCTTAATGACAATTCAGCATTTTATTTTAAACTTTTTTTGGGTTGAAGGGGAGATGCATATATGATCTCCTACATGAATAGTCCACCACAGATAATCAGAAGCTTCATATACATGCAATTCTTAAGTACATAAGCAATATGATCAAATTTAGCTAACAGTTTAGACAAATTGATAGGGAAACAGCACTCACTCATTTGCAAGATTCCGAACTACTGAGCATAAGTGCTCTCGAGCATCGTCGTTCCATATCAATTCAGGATTTTCTTGTGTTCCTGCAAAATTAATTTTAAAGAACATATTTTAGATTATTCCTAAAAATATATTAAATATTTCATATTGAGCATAAATACTGTGCATAATAAATTAATAAATTACCTTCAAACATATGAACAGCTGCTTCAGGTGAATCTTTCATTGCATCAAGGAATAGAGTTGGTAAAAATTTAGATAAAGTTATTCGCAACTTTGGGCCCATTAATTTTTCAGTAGTCATCTTTGCCAACAACCCAGCTGTCAATTCTCGAATTGTTGGATTAGTTGAATTACAAAAAAGATTGAGAAGATATATCACAGCACCTGAAAAATATTGAAACAAAAAGGTATTTGATTACAATCGCAAAAACCATCATCTATTTTTTTCTCTCACAAAAAAGCATTAAATGAAGGACATCTCAACAAACTGCAGTCTGATACAGTAAAAATGATCTCTATCGTATTTGCAGATGATCCATATCAATGCAGACATAATAATAGACAAATATAAGAACAACATGGCAACCTGAAAATAGCAGTCAGCAAACAACAATTAAAAAACAACAAATAAGCTACGATTAAAAAGCTCTGTGTAGTAGGTTGTCTGAAAAATCATGATGCATTTTTCTATGTTCTTCAAAGTTCCTTTATTTATTTAAAGAACAATGATCAGTCAATAATATGTTGCTTGTTTTTTTATTACTTTCTTTTATTGAGCTTTGTAATTCCTCATTCACACACACACACACACACACACACACACACAAAAAAAAAAAAAAAAAGCATTATTAGTGAAAAGTTGAACAAGGTGCTGATTTATGGCCTCATCTTAATTTAATTTTACAACATGAAAGAAATTTTTAAGATAGCAAAATAGATAAAACTCAGATGGCACAGGGGCAGGCAAGTATGATACACATGGCAACACTTTCCATCCAAACCCCAATTAATTTTGGCAGGTGATCAAATTTGTCTGTGGTCTTGTTTCCAAACTCCTACCAATGAATCAACAAATCAGTCCTGTTGCCAACTGGACAGTTTCAACAAATCCATCTTCCAGAAACTTCCACAGCTCAATAATAGTATGGAAACTGCATTCCATTCTGATGACACGAGATCACACACAAGTTTGATCACTTGACAAAAATTATTGGAGTTTGGATAAAAAGTTTGCCACACATATCATACTCGTTTTATCTTGTGCTCTCAGATTTTCATTTGTTTTGCCCACTTGAAAATTTCTTTTGTGGTACAACATTCAATTCAGATGAGGGCATAAATCAGCACCTTGTTCAGCTTTTTGCTGATAAAGCTAGTTTCTTTTGTGAATGAGGAATTTTGAAGCTCAATCAAAGAAAGCAAACAATTATCAAACAAAATGGACAGTATACTATTGACAGATTGTTTTTTTATATAAATAAAGAACCTTTAAAAAACAAAGAAAAAAAAATGTGCCAGAACTTTTCAGACAACCAGGTGTTTTGAGACACGCATAAGTAGTCTTTCACATACAGAAACAAGTAATTCAGGGTAATATCTCCTGATTTTGCTTTAGATGCAAACATTACAGATACTAATTTAGTACTAGTCTTTTTAAATGTTAGTAAAATCAAACAAATGCAAATGAATTAATTAATCACAAAAGTAAGTTTTCGAAAACGTGACTTAAATGCAATTTGAAAACTGCTTACCGAATTGTGGAACTACACTATTTAACTGAAATTTAAAAAATATATATATAAATATATTTTCACAAACTGCAAGAGGAGGTGCCTCTCTTTATATATGACTCTGCAATATATAAATGCCTGCAATCATATATGAAACTAAATCAAAATATTCTGCAAAGCTTGCTAAAGTTTTGAATTCATGTCTTAAAATCAAGTTTTAAAAAATTACCTTGAGGTACCTAAGTATTAGCCCATCAACTATGAAAGATGTCTACCATCAAACCATGAAAATTGGTAGAGAACCCACCAAAGTTTTGCCATTTGTTCCCGTGGAATTCTGAGACAAAGGTGAGACATTCTGAGACAAGATTTGCAATTCTAACAGTAAAACATTCATCGTTCTCTCTTCACAATCTACCAAACAGCCATTGCTGCAGAAGCATTTGTCGATTTTCCTTTTTGAGCTTCATAAAATGGCTTTCATCAATTTCTACTATTTTGTTAGATGCTCTGATTTTACCAGAAGCTATGTTTTGAACACTTACAGTAAAATTTTCAGCAGGTTATTGTTCCAATCTATTGCTCTTTTGTTGGTCACAGTCAGCTGACCATATCGTATTAATTAATACATACTTCTTGTACAAAGTAAAGGAAGTATTGTAATTGCGAAAATTTTCGGGTGTCATAGTTCCATGAAAATATCCATTTTGACTGCTATCAAATGCAATTGAACAATGTTTTTGTGTGACCTCTGTATGTAAGGACAAAATAAAGGATTCTTTTTCCAAAAACAGGTTGCAAAAAGGATTTATAATGGTTTTAGAAGAGATTTTTTTCATGACATCTGTAGACGTACATACATAGAGAGTTTGTCTGTTACTCGGCTCCATGAGCTCAGTTTTTTTTTTTTTTTTTTTTAATATTTATATTTATTCTTATATGTTGGTAAATTCTGCAATTTTTGCTTTAAAAATGATTGAATTATGTTGTTTTATATCTTCTGATTATGATGAAGGTTTTTATGCCTTTAAACCGTTAATCTGCATGCAATACTTGTAGAATTATCAACAATTTAAACGTTGTTTAAGTGTGGCTAAACCTACATTTTTTTACCACAGCAGCCATATTTGTTTACATTTAAAACTTAGCGGAATAAAGATACACCTTTAGTGTTCTTTTTACCATGTGGGACCAAAAGTAAGCTTTTAGTTTTGTGAACCAAAAGTCCAACTTCGCTTATTTTTGTGTTAGCGCAAAGGAGCAAGTTGCACAGAAGGGCTATTAATTTCATTGTGGCATTTTGCATGGATTCACTTAATTTGTTGAAAATAAAATGATTATGTGACCTCTGACAATCATCTGATATCTTTTTCCTGGCAGGAATTGAGATAAATGTTTTATATAAACAAATATTTAGAATTTGGAATGTAATGGATACTTTTTGTTTACTAGATTAGTTTACTCTTTTTCTCAGATTACTTGATTAATTATATTTGGATTATATTTCAGTTTAACCTTCCAGCACACGCACTGGGCAATTTTACATGAGC